GGGCTCCTAGTGATTGGCCCAAAATCATCCAGCATGCTTTCACTCCTAAGGCGGGACTAGAACTCTCAGGCTCCTAGTGATTGGCCCAACATCACCCAGCTGGCTTTTATGCCTAAGGCAGAACTAGAACTTCCTGTCTCCTGGTGATAGACCCAAAGTCACCCATCCAGCTTCCCTCCTTAACGTGACACTAAAATTCACTTGTCGACACCAAAGTGGCCCTCCAAATACAGGCATGTGCACCAACCACACGCCGGAGCCTTTTTGTGCTGCAGCGGCTCCAGAACTGAAGTTCTGGCTAAGATCCGGACCCTGGAGACCAGCCCCTCCCCCGCTCACCTCTTTCTCTGTCTCTGAGTCCGAAGAAGAGGGGGCTGCCTTGAGGTGCCCCTTCTTGCTCCTCCTGGGGGCTTCGCTGTCCGCGCTGCTGTCGCTCTCCGCGCCCTCTGCCTCCTTCTCGGCTTTCTCCCGCTTCCGCTCCTTCTCCTCCCGCTCCTGTTCCCGCAACCGGCGTAGCTCCTGCTCCTGCTCGCGCTTCCGCTTCTCCTCCAGTTCTCGCCGGCGCTCCTCGTCCCGCCGTTTCCACTCGCTGATGCGGTCCACGTCGCTGTCGCTGCAGGTGGAAAGGGGGGGGGGCAGAAGAGAGAGACAGGAGGGAGAGTCCAAAGGCATGGGGGAGTCTCAGCTGTTTGGCTTGCACGGAAGCTCAGCTCACGGCCCCCCAATCCTCCCGGGACTTTGGAAAGTGCTGTCCTGGTGGGGCTCCTGGCCAGTGTTGTGGCCCGCCAGCGGCCAGCGGATCTGGCGGCAGATTCAGACAGTGGGGAGGTTGGGGAGAACAGTTGGGAGTCCGGGGAAGGCTCTTGACGAGGCCTCTGCGTCAGAGGCAGAAATGGGGCCAGGGCCGTCTGACAGTTATCAGCTGCCTTTGGAGTCGGAGATCAGTGGGGCAGAAGAACAGCTGGAGCCTGTTCCCAGTGTGCTCATGTGCAGAGCTGCCAGAAGAAGGGAACACTAAGGAACAAGGATCGACTCGGGAGTAAAGGCTCAGGTGGATGGGGAATGGCCCCTCCCATAGGGAATAAAAGAGGAGCAAAAAGGGGAGTGGGGTTTGCAGGAGACAATCAGTTCAATTTGTTAGAGTGAAGGTCTGTTCCTGACTTCTTGCCAAGTAACTGCTGCTACAGCATGGCGTTTGGAAGATATCGGCCTGGCAACTCTCCAAGCCTGATAAAAGGTCTGTATCTCTTACCTGTCACTGCTGGAGGTGCTAGGAAGCCTCTCGAGTTTAGGTTTCCGGCCCCGGGGCTTGGGAGGCGGCTTTTCGGCAGCTGGGAGGGAAGGAAGGAGATGGTTAGGTTTGGAAAGAGGGAACTTTTGGAAGTGCAGCCCTCCTGAATCCAGGCCTGCCCATCCTCAGACAAAGCAGGAGACGAGTGTGGAGAGATAGAAACGCAGGAGGGAGGGAGGGAGGGAGGGAGGGGTCTGTTAACCATGAAGCAAGCTAAGCAGGTGCTTTAGGGCACCAGGCCCAAAGGGGGCCCCACAAAGTTTGAGAACATGGCTTCGTTGGGACAGGAGGCACAAGGGAGAGGGATGCCAAGATTTATCAGTGCTTAGGGCACCAGGGAACCTTAATCTGCCACTGGAGGGAGGAGGAGGAGGGAAGGAAGGAAGGAAGAGGGAGGAAGGCAGGAAAGCAAACAATGAAAAGAAATAATGAAGGGAGGGAGGTGGTGGAGGGAGGAAAAGAATGAAAGGAAGTAATGAAGGAAGGGCAGAAGGAGGGAGGGAGGGAGAGAAGGAAAGGAAGAGAGGAAGGAAAGGAAAGGAGGGAAGGAAAGAAAAAGGGAGGAGAGGGAGGATGGAAAGAAAAGAGGAAAGTAAAGGAAGGAAGGTGAGAGAAAGGAAGGAAAGGGAAGGAGGGAAGGAAAGAAAAAGGGAGGAGAGGGAGGATGGAAAGAAAAATGGAAAAGGAAAAGAAGAGAGGGAGGGAGGGAGGAAAGTAAAGGAAGGAAGGGGAGAGAAAGGAAGGAAAGAGAAGGGAGGGAGAAGGGGAGAGGAGAGGAGAGAAGGAAGGAGATGGAGGAAGGAGGGAAAGAAAGGAAGGGAGATGCCCCACGGCCCCATCAGCCCAGCCCTGGCAGCCACCTGGGCTCCTGACCTGGCTTCCTGCCGCGGGAGGGCTTCTTGACGGATTCATCTGAGTTGGAGTCAGACTCGGACTTGGGAGTGAGTGGCCGGTTGCCCTCGCGGTTGTTGTCGTTGTCCTCCTCCTCCTCGTCCTCCTCCTCCTCGGAGTCTGCCTTGCTCTCCGAGTCGGAGGCCGATTCGATTTTCTGCTAACAGAGAAGCCGCCTTAGCGCGCCAGAGGCAGCCGGATCACAGGCACCTTCCGTCCTGCCAAATTGTCTCCCTGACAAAAACCCAAAACCTGCCATTCCTGGATCTGGGGAAAGGGGGTGGCTGTAATCCGCGGGACATAGTCCTTAACTTATGACCAGAATCGGGGCCAGAATGTCCATTGCTAAGCTAGGCAGTTGCTCAGCGAGTCATACCTCCATCTACAACTTGACGGGTTGCCCTCGGCTTACGGCCACAATGGAGCCCAATGGGTCTGTCCCTAAAGCGGGGACGTTAAGTGAGCCTTGCCCCGTTTTACAACCTCCCTTCACAAACGCATTGCTTAACGACAAAGATGCTGGTCTCCTATGTCGTCATAAGTTGAGGGCTACCTGTGTTTCCCCGAAAAAAAGACCGGGTCTTATTTTCTTTTGGGCCCCAAAATAAACACTAGGACTTATTTTCTGGGAGGGATGTTGTTCCCTCCCCCCCCCTCCATATATGGGAGCCCCACTGCTGTCAGGATTCCGGCAGTTACCCCCATTTAAATCATGAGTCTCGAGCCAAACTTCCAAAACTTCAAAAGGATTCATTGGGAGTTAACCTGTCCAGCACTGCCTGGGTGTAGCCGACTCTGAGACCACATATAATTCATTGTCACTCTTGACACTGGTTTTCCCACTCACCCCCTGGGTGTATCCTAATTCATATCCTCCAATGGGACACCTCCATAGCCCAGAGTCATCAAGCATGCTCTCCAGTTAGAATTTTGCCCAGCAGAAACTTCAGTCACCTAGTTACTATCTTTGAAAAACTATTTATGGAATGCACTTTCGTTTTTGCAAGCTGCTGCACTGCTTCCCTCTCCCTTTCTGTCGGCAACTCTAAAGACCGTAGAAGTATTTTATGAGTCGACAACTTTTTCTTCTTGCTGGCCGCGCAACGCGCCAATGCGGCCGCCACAATTCGGGGGTGGCATTGCCCCACGTGCCTCGCACCAGCTTACTTCGGGGCCTCCCCTGCCAGGCCACCCATGCCTCAACACCTGCCTTGGCTTGTAGCTGCGGTACCGCCGCATTGCTCTCGCCTCCTGCTCCATTGCAGCCACGAATGAGCAAAAGTGCGCCAGTGCTGGTGTTGCCACCGCGAGGCAGGTATCGGGGGCACGGATGGCCTCACTGCAGGGGCTCTAAGGTTCACCGGTGCAGGACCTGTGGGGCAGCTCCACCCCCAACCCACACCTTGCCTCGTGGCCACAGCACTGTGAACAATCGGATGAAACGGGCAGGCAAGCCCATTGTGCAGGATCTTAAGTAGGACTTATTTTGGGAGGTTAAGGCTTATATTAGGCGCACGTTTAAAAACAGGCTAGGTCTTATTTTCAGGATAGTTTTTAATTTTGGGGGGAAACGAGGTATCTACCTTGAAGACAAGATGTGTCGCTGTCAGGTGTGAAAGATCAATTCCGCAGGTGAATTAAACTAATTTGATTGTTAAAAGGCAATAGACAGGTAGGTCCAGCTTAACTTCTGTCTCTAAGAGATCGGTCGTTGAGGACTTACCTGTTCCAGGTGCAAATCAATTATGTCCCTAAAAAAGGGTCTCTTTAAGCTATGGTCAACCGAGGGGATTCTAAGCCGATGAATCTTGTCCAGGCCAATGTTCCTCAACCTTTGCCAAGGGGAAGAAACCTGATTTCGTCCAACACAACGTGAACAAAATCGGTTTGGAGGCTGAGCGGCGAGATAGGTATAGCCAGGTGTGAAAGTTCAGGTGCACAAGCGGCCGGATAAGTGTTGCCAGGTGTAAACATTCAGACCCACAAGTGAAAGTTCAATTAAACTGATTTATTGGTCAAATGCCTATGCACAGGAATTTTCTCAGCTCATGGTTAGCCCTTGCTTGGAATTAGACACAGGTCCAGGGAATTCAAGGGAGATTGGACAGTTCGCACGTGGCTACGTAGGGATTCTAGGCTGCTAGCTCTCTTGACTGCCCCCCCGTTTCTGCGACTCCTCCTGCAGTTTTGTTTTTCATATTGGTTACTAGCTTGATACCTGTGCTTCGCTTCGAAACTTTGCTATGTGGTCAAGCTTAGATTTTGGGGAGGAAAATAAGGGGGGAAAACTCTGCCTTTTTCCACCAGCATCCATCAGTATTCCTCTGGCTAGCGTCCCATGAGTGTGTGAGAGAGTTGAGGGCTGTTTGGAAAGTGAAACAGTATTTGCTGTGTGAGCAAGGAGACAGCAAGGAGCCTGGGCGTGGCTTAGCTCAACTGTTCTGTACTAAAGCTGCTTGGTGCTGCTGTGAAAGTAAAACTGAAACTCCTCTCCTCTGCTCGTGTTTTGCATTTGGAAGATGTTTCTTTTCAGGTGGGGAGGGGGAGTAGAACTCCTTAGCATCAGAGCGTGTTTAATAATATAGGAAATACTCTAAATGCTCTGGATGGTCATTTCAAAAAATCCTTTCTTAGTGAGCACCTAGAAGCCAAGAGGAAAATCTCAAGTGTGTAGGCTTTACTGTTCTGGAGATTTTGTGATGATGCGTGAGGGGTATGTTGCTTTTTTTTATATATATAGATATTATTATAATATTGTATTATTGTATTGTATTGTATTGTATTGTATTGTATTGTATTGCATTGCATTGCATTGCATTGCATTGCAATGTAACGTAACGTAACATCATCAATTCTAAATCAACCTTGGATTCCCAGAGATAATCAATCAACTTTTCTAAGAGATATTGGAAATCCTCTTACCTTTTTCTTCCACCCTCCGGCAGGTGCCCGTCGTGTAGCTCTGGCAGGTGTTTTTTTCTCTGGAGTGAAGTCCTACGTTAGGAGACACGGAATTGACACTGAAGGCCCCTCAGTTCCAAAATATTCCCACCACCCCGTCCCCAACATGAAGGACGGGCGGAGGACAATGAAGTTCTTTCTTTCGAACATATAATAAGTAGTCTGTGAGTTATGACTGCGAGGGGGCCAGAATTTTTTTGCTGCTAAGAAGGTGGTGGTTAGGTGAGCTGCACCCGTATCTTCTATCTACAATTCCTCTCTCCCTCCCCAACTCTGCGTGCAGGTGGTTAGAATGCAGCATTGGAGGCTGACTCTGCCCACTGCCAGCAGTTCAATCCTGACCGGCTCAAGGTGGACTCAGCCTTCCGTCCTTCCGAGGTGGGTAAAATGAGGACTCAGATCGTTGGTGGGCAAGAGGCTGACTCCGCAAACCGCTTAGAGAGGGCCGCCAAGCGCTATACAGCGGTATGTAAGTGCCTTAAGGGCTATTGCTACGGCTCCACCCTCACTAAAATAACTCCGCAGGTCAGACGTAAATACCTTCTACCCACACAAACCCGACCTGGTCACTGTATTTCTCCGATTCAGAAGAGCTTTCCGAGTTTTCCTCCTCCGTAGCAGACGGGCTGGCTTGCTCAAGGTCACTTGAAGATTTCCTGGGTCGTTTCGCGACCGGCATCTAGAACAGGAGAGGGGGGAATAAAATCAGACGGGGCATCAGAGACGGCCTAAGGCAGGGGTCCCCAACCACCGGTCCGCGGACCGGTACCGGTCCGTGGAACAAGTCCTACCGGGCCGCTGGTTTGCTGGGCGCCGCCAACTTTTTTTTTTGATGAAAAAGTGCTTCCGGTGAGCTTTTCCGGGTAGAAAGCTCACCGGAAGCACTTTTTCATCAAAAAAAGATGGCGGCGCCCAGCTAATGCCGGTACCGGGCCGCGCCATAAAAAAGGTTGGGGATACCGGGCCGCGGCATAAGAAAGGTTGGGGATCACTGGCCTAAGGGATGCATTTCCTTTATTTATTAGATAACCTTGATTGTCCCTTTTTTTTTCTGTGAACACACTGGCCGCACATGAAAGAACGGTACGGTGGCCTCGAGCCGACGCCTTCACCTCAACAATTAGGAGGCTGTGATTTTGATCCTTAGGTAGAGGCGGATATCTCTCTTTCCGGGCACAAGGAGAATTTATCTGCTGAACAAAACTCTGCATTGGCGACAGGAAAGGCATCTGGCCAGTAAGAACTTTGCCACCTCCATTCAGTTGGCCAGACTCCGCCCCGCAAAGAAATTATGGGGTGGTTAAAAGAGGATGATGATGACTGGCCCATATTAAAAAATGAAATTCTGAGAGTTGCTCTCAAAATACACACACACACAAATACAGGTAATCCTCAACTTACAACAGTTCATTTTAGTCACCAGTCGAAGTTACGACGACACCGAAAAAAGCGACTTATGACCGTTTTTCACACTTATGACCATTGCAGCATCCCCGTGATTTACACATTTGGATGCTTAAAACAACTGACTCATATTCACGACGGTTTTGGAGTCCTGGGGTCACGTGATCCCTTTTTGCAACCTTCTGATCAGGAAAATCAAGGGGGAAACCAGATTAATGACCGTGTTAGTAACTTAAAAGCTGCAGTGATTCACTTAACAACCGAGGTCAGAAAATGGGGGCAAAACTCACTTCACAAATTTCTCTCTCAGCATAAATTTTCCTAAGATAAAATAGCACAAACGTAAAATAACATAAACGTTGGGCTCAATTGTGTTCGTACCAGCTGGGCCTTCTACTCTGAGCAGAGCCCGAGACAGAAAGGCCAATTATTTGGCTATATTGGGTAGTCCTCAACTTACGACTGCAATGGAGCGCAAAATTTCCATGGCTAAGCCAGAGAGACGTTAAGTGAGTTTTGCCCCGCTGTATGACCTTTCTGCCACAGAATCCCTGCCGTTGTTAAAGTGAGCAACACGGTTGGTTAAGGGAACCTGGTGTCAGGTTTCCAAGCAATGAAATCCACTTTAAAAAAAAGAAAAGAGCAAAGTCCGCCTTCCAAAACTATTTCTTTTATTTCGGAAAGCATCAAACTGGCAAAGTCTGCGGTAGTTCCGGATCTGACACCACCCGGAATTACCCCACGTAACCTTGGAAGTTAGAAACAGCCCCCCAAAAGTCACGTTCCCCAATAGAAGGAAATCAACGTTTGCCTGGCGTCATCAACCTCCACCTCCAGGTCTCAGTAGGGTCAGCGTTTGTTCCCACGGGAAGAAGAACCCACCTAGCCTAAACAACTGTATCTCTGCTCCTCCCACTGTAGGAATGCGGCAAGCCCAAAACCCTTCTCCCCCCCCCACCATAACCAGCAAAGAGAAAGAAAGAAAAGGAATATATAAAAAGGCTAAATAAAATGGCTACCCATATGTCCATTTTGGGCGCGACACCTGGCTTCCCCGTAGACTTTGCTTGTCGGAAAGTCTCAAAAGCGGATCTCACGTGGCCTCAGGACACTGCGACCGTCCTAAAGGCGAGTCGGTTGCCAAGCGTCCGAATTTCAATCCCGTGACCGTGGGGAGGTGGCAACGGTCGTAAGTGTGAGAAACGGCCCTCAGACGCTTCCCCCCCCCCCCGGGGGCGCTAGAACTTCGAACAGCCGCTAAACGAACAGTCGTTAAGTCGAGGTCTACCTGCATACGCCGGTCAAATCAGGATGGATTCTGCGTGGCGTACTTACTTTGCGTGGAGGAACCAGCTGGAGGCGAAGTGCGTCAGAAAGGCATAATTAAAATCCTCCCCCTGGGGACGGTCCCAAACAAATATTCCCACCACGGGAGGATAAAAAAAAAAAAGGCATTGCAAAGCCCCAAAGCCAAGAGGCTGGGTGTTTTAGAAAACCCAGGGACCATGGGGCTGAGCCAATCTCCAGGGGAATGTATTCCAGAAAAGGCCATTCGGCAACCGGGGAGGCCTCACTTGGGCCTGGAGACGAGGAGGCTTCCGTGGGTCAAAGAAATCTCATTTTTCCAAATGTTAACAGATGAGCAAAATCCTCTGGGAGGAGGAATTCCCCGCAAAGGCCCAGGAGGTG